AAATTCTTTATTGCTGAAGAAGAGGCAAGATCAAAGGATCGTGGCGCATTGTGCCGCTTCCCTGTGGACAGCAGCAGGCTAGTCGGCTGACGAGCTGGGACGACAAATGAAGAATGCATTAGCGAAAATACGATTGCGGCAACATATCTCTGAGCTGGCGATATCGAGTTCAACGCACCTCAACGAATGCTGATGCTTGGATAATACTTCCAGGCTGCTAATACTCCGAACACACGCCTAACGACAAGAAGCCTACGAGAGGCAGATAAAAGTTGACTGAGGAGCAGGGAAGTGGAACAAGGCTCCTAGATGATAGAGAATGCGGTCCAAATGTTGGCCACGCGGTGGATCTCGCACATGCCGACTCAGCGATTCGGCGGCCGGCTCCCCTAGTGCGTGTGGGCTAATCTTCGCTTTTGTTGCCGCCCCCTTCCCCCACAACTAATGCGTACTTTGTGATAGAACCCTTGCTGCTATGTCTCTCCTGCCAAGAATTGCGTTCGAGAATTCGAGCTAAAGCCCTCGTCCGGACAGTTCACATCTGAGAAAGTACTGTGGTGTCAGGGCTGATTTTTAGCACTGCGGAGCCAAACAGCAAATTTCAGCTAACTAGATAAGGGTATATTACCCCTGTAGCGTGTCAACCTGTAGGCGTGTTTTTAGGTGCACCACAGGCTACCACGAACGCGTGAATTATTAATCCAATCGCAGCTTAGACTCCCAGAGTAAGGTCGTGGTGTTAGCCGTTTCTAGCGTTGTGCTGAAAATTAACCCTGACACCACAGTAAGAGTGATTCATGTTCGTATCCCAGCACACCAGTGAAAAATGTGCGCCTGTGTTGGTCAGCTGCTTGCCTTGGGCGTACCCACCTCGGGTATTGTCGTCCAAGACTTGTCCCTGTGACGAGGTGTATGTCTCATATTCATTTAGAGAGTTGTGGCGTGGAGCCTCGGAAAACCCCAAGGAATTCTGTTAAGGGACCATACACCGGCCGGGATCCATTATAACTCCAACTGTCAAATGTGCCTTTGGTTAATATATCTGCATTGGTGGCCAGTCTGCGCGGACTGTACATGATATTGATCCCGGCGCAACCCCGGGACCAGCCTTTGCTGAAAATCACGTCATGAATTATGCAAGTTGTCGATAAGCCTCGTACTGGCAGTCATAAACAGCCTAGAATTAGCCCGCACTTTGGGCTATTGGCTATGTTTTGGGGTTCATTTTGGCGCTGAAGACTGCGATTGGTCTGCATGAGATTTGTGGCGAACTCATCGTTACCACATCTGTTATCTGCTGGCCCACATTAGACCTGATCCAGGGCCTGTTATCCCAAATCTCTAATGGAAATCTCTAATGGAAATCTCTAATGATACAGAACCACAGTTTGGCGTATCCAGTCTTGTGCTCCCCCGTCTTCGTTTCAATATCTTCGAACGTAACCTCATCCTCGTCTTTGCCCCAAGTGTGCGAGAGGATCGCATACGGACCAGCAGGTGTAAGCAGCTCCTTGGTCAGCGTCAGCGTGCCGTCTACAGCAGCCTGAAGGAAGCGCATGTCCGACGTTTCGACCGCAGATCGTCAGGTAGGTGTGGCCATTGTTAAAAGCGATGGCAGGCACGCTGCGTCAGCGGTTTCATTGTGAGAAGAAACTGTAGTGAAGGACAAAGATCATGAAACTCCCACCACTGGATACATTGACACAACCAGTGGCGGTATGATGCGAGAATTGATTGGGCTAAGCTACATCGCAGCTAGCCATGGCGTAGGTCTGCAGGCAAATAGGCTGGCTCGTGTCTGCCAAAGGCCCCCGTCTGCAGCCGATATCACTCCTCCGCCTTGGCATGTCTACGTGAGGAATAGTACAGCCTCATCACTCTTGCGGAGATTCATCCACCATGCGTCCAGCATCAGAACTTGCTCATAATGTCCAATCATGTGCATCGCCCTTGGGGATCCCGCTGTAGAACTTGCCTTTGCAGGACGCCGTACCGTGTAATAACATCCCGACTGTATCCTTGACTAGCAAAAGAACAGAGGCGACTTTTGACAGTGCGTTTGATACTGTATGTACGTATGTACTTTAGTTAGTCGAGCCAGGATACTACAACGCTCAGGCTTAAAGCACTCACAAGGCTGCAATGCCGAAGGCAGGTGAATGCGGATTGTGCAAGTTTGCAACTGCTCCGATATGGATCCCTTTTACGGGCTGAAGCCTGCCACTCGCTATTGGCTGTCCGAGGAATAGTCCAGCGCCTGTAATAGACCAGGCAGCATCAGTCTTAGCGAAGATGTCGGGCTCCAGCCCCTTCCGCATAGCCGCCCAAACGCCTCGATTTCACTCTTCGTTCTGGGCAATTGTGAATACTTAATCGAGCTCAGGTGACCGGGTTATCCACTCCGTCGACGATGTGCGAGAGAAGCCTCGCCAAGCACCAGGCGCATCTTAAGGGCTTGTCAGCTCCAGATACGACATGCCTACTTTGTATGCGAGCACACCGACCGGTCCTACAGTAGTATTACGCGCTATCACTACAGATCACACTTGAAATCTGGACCCTGCTGCTGGAAGTCGAAATAGTCCGACTACATCTCGTAAAGAGCAGGCGGGATCGGAAAAGTTCTTGGCATACAAGGCTCTCACTCAGCCTCACCTAGCTTGGACCTCGACTTCTCATTGTTTTGGTTTGATTTTTGAGCTTGCTGTGGAGACTGTCAAGTCAAGGGCGCCTTCGAGTTGTCCGGCCGACCATTACCCCGCATTCCGCTTAAAGGATTCTCGCAGGCTCTCCTACTTATCTCACCATCGAGAGTCGAGTGTTCAGCATCGTGCGTCCCAGCATCATTGACGATACTCACAACCTCGAGCAAGCCCGTCAGGCCTCCGTCAGGCTGCTTCAAAATGCCAGCAGTATGCTGAGCTCAGCAACAACGATTTTGCAATGGCTCGATGCTGTTGACGAGGGCCCGGGTTGTGACCTCACAAGTTTAATGAATGGTTGGCACGCTCATCACTCTCAGAAACGCAAAATTGATACACCAAGTATGGAATCCGAAGAGAGCCTTGATGTCGATGCCACTCCGCGAGCCCCGCGAGCAAAGAAAGCGCGGTCGCATACAGGAACGCGCCCAACGCCTCCCACTAGCTTTCCACCCGGCGCTGGTGGTGGCACGTACAGTGTAGCCTCATCAGCGTCACAACACAGCCGTAGCTAAAGTCCAACAAAGAGAAAGCGTGCTCTCGAGACCTCGACACCTCAGGTCATCTTTGAGCAACGCTCAGCGCTACGACACCAAAGGGCGCAGCTTGAGACGGGATGTCCATTGCTAAAAAGACTTCTGGCCGCCATTGGCGCAGCCAACAAGAACTTGCCGATGGGAATGGAGAATTACTTCGAGAGGACTCACGAGTTTGAGGATGGACCGCTTCCACCTTTCGCAATCAATAATTCTCTCGACCATTTCTTGTTTATGGAAAAATTCGTGCAAAAAACCATGCATCATATGAGCATTTGAAAAAGGGCAAGTGTCTCCGCGGACGAATGGTATGATTTGGTGGTGTACCCTTGTCTCAAGGCAGCTGCCAAATGCATCGGGGCTTCGCCCTCAGAGGTAGTCGTCAGAGTCACAAAATGGCCAGACCAACCTTATACGAGTAGCCATTTCGGCAGGTGTCAGTGCACCGTGTATATATCTATTTATCGCTAAAGCAAGCAATGAAATCAGAAAAGTACGCAACTAAGCCAGAAATGCAAGCGAGCAATACGGAAATCAGTGCCGATACTGCCAGGCCCAAGATGCTTGCAGCCCACATGAGCGTCTAGTTGAACATACATCCCTCGATAGTGCAGGGAGCAGAATCGACCGCGCCGTTACCCAGGTTGACCTTGACGGGTATGGTACTGATCAGTTCCTACCCACCGTGATGACGACTGTATACGACTTTTCAGTAGCCAACAGGCCCTGGATCGCACTTGTGATACACAAGATAAGTTCTCCCAATGGCAACGTCTTACGCTACCATACCAATTGAGAATGACATAATTGCCTAGTATTACTGCTTAGTTGGAGATGATAAGACGGATGCCAGGCGTCATATGTTCCTGCGCAGATGGTCACCTCACCTGCAGTATGATGGGTTCATGTTCAACAGATCGCACATCGCCTTTGAGGCGCTTCACAAACTTCGGCGCATCTTTGATGTTTCGCAGATCGTCTAGCAGGAGCCTCGTGGTGTGTGGAGTCCGCACTGTCTGACCCACTATAATTGGCCACTATCGTTTCGGTCGCCATTATCTCCAGCTTTTCCATGTTCCCTGGCGGCCACACTACGACGGAAATCTAGCCACTCATCCATCAAACCCCTGTAGTCTTTCGGACAGTAAGGACGAAACAACTCGCGCCAACCGCCGCCTTTTCTGAGCGGATCCAAACCAAGCTGTTTAACCAGCATGGATTGATACTGCCGAGTCAGTCAATATACACGAGTGCGGGAATGAACCTACTGCAATTTGGTCATAGATCATCGTGTGACCATCGCCGAGGTATCTGCGGCGGCGCCATGCGATTCTCAGAGCTACCTCCTCTTCCATTTCGAGAAACGACGGGACTTCCAGGTCGCCCATGAGGTAAGATATTGACCACAGACTCTGTATTTCCGCTACTAGGAGCGACTGAGTAGTTCCTACCAGTCCAAGGAATGCGATCGATCTGTCAGGGTCCCCAATTGGAGCTATAGAGCGATAGAGATGATGTGGTGTCCGTTCTTCCTCCAAGCCTTCTAGGATCATATTCTCGGAAAGGGCATTGAATCTGCTGAGGACGATAGCGTCAGCGGCGGCCACTAACTCATGCCAGTGCTTCTTTGTTGCAGGAGATATGTCCGTCATTGGCATCGGAAGGCCAAGCTTGATGGATTCTTCCTTTGAAAACATTGGAAAGGAAACATCCCACCCGGTGCATGCAACGACAGCATCAAATTCAATTCTTAAGCCTGAGCTTAGGACAGCCTTGTTGTCTCGATTCTGATGATCTCTCCTCGGACGACTGTTGCCTTAGATAAGGTGTCCCACAGATCGGGAGTGTTCTGCACACCCAAATTATCAGAGCACCAATAAGCCGGTCGGTCTGGCCTTAGCTGCGCGAAGTTCTCATCACGTTGATAGCTCGCGTTTGCTTGCCATATTTTATCCACCAGATGCCATATAGCCTTGACAAGCCAACTTCCCACCAGTGATTGGTGGAAGAATTTTGTCCAACCATCGGACTCTTCAAAAACGCAGGGGCTCATCTTTGAAATCAGCTTTAACGAGATGAGGTCGTGAGAAGACTTAAAAGGCCCTGCACCACCAGAGCTAGCGAGCATGCCTGGTCCATGTCCACCTGGTCGTATGATCCACGATACCCTTTTGCCTAGTTTGGACAAGAGATAGACTGCGTCAAACGCAGACTTCGAGCCACCGATCACAATAACATCTCGGACAAAAGATGATGATAAGATAGGAGAAGCGACTGCCAGATCCCGGGAATGAAAGATTGGGACGCTTGTGTTCTGCTGCAGGAAAGGCGGCATCTTTGGTGTAGATGTCAATCCAGTCGCTAAGATCATTTTTCGACCGCGGACTGTTTGCTCCTTAGATGTCTCAATGGTCCACAAATGGTTGGATTTCCATATCTTGGTGACTCTTGAATCGAAATCAATACGATCATGAATTGTTTCACCCGCGAATTGTACCGAGCGCGAGAAGTCAGATAGGTACTGACAAGTATGTTCGCCTGAAAAAAGCTCATTGAATGTCGTCTTGGGTTGGTCCATTGGATAAGACGAATATTCGAACATGCCTAAGGGTGTCTGTGTCATCATGGTTGGATAGATTCGATCCTTGCTCCAGGTTCCTCCAATGAATCTTCCAGCCTCAAAAATAATCACTTTCGATTGAGGTTGAACGGTCAGCCACGTATGGGCTGCTATGAGTCCTGAGGGACCGGCACCAACGACGACCAGGTCGTACAAAGACATATTTTAGGCCTTTGAGTAGAGAGCTAGATAGCTTCGCAAAATGTCTGCTGAATACTCGTAGGAACAAATACACGGGATATGATTCCAAGCTAAAGAGGCTGCCATTTCGTTTCGAAGGGCATGGGGAGCTGCAGTAGCAACAACTTCAAGCAGTGGCTCCGTCGAAATATTTGCGACATTCGACGGACTCATGTCGTATCAGAGGCGCCCAGGTCACTAAACTGCGCACTTTGCATACTCGTGTATGCAAAGGAGAAATTCTCGGAACGCCGAAACACACAGCGCCTGATTGACAGGGATGACATGCACGCTCCTAAGCAGGGCATGCTACTCTGTACCGAGGGGTGACGGAAGGCATCAGACAGACCAACTGACGCTGACAAGAATTGCAAATCTATGCAATGGAATTCCGAGTTCGGACACTAGGAGACACTTTGCTAAGGCTAAGGCATGATGCGAACGCGGTCAAGAAACGCTGTGTTAATGATGACCTCGCTGTCACTCAACTGCGTTGTTGTCTCGGAACGTTGAGGTAGAATCCTAAAGGCTTGCAATACTCACTTGCATTTCTGAGAAGAGAATTCATGTTCCCAACCAACTGAAACACGGGCAAGGACAAATCCAGCACGTCACCATCCATGTATCGCAGCACAGTCCGACTTCTGGTTCTAGCTTTGGGATAGCTTACGCCCAGTTGAATCGACTCTCGGCCTAGCCGCAGGCATACTTGATGTTCCTAAGCTTCAATGAGTGTAAGGAACAAGCGTGTTCGGCGCAGTCGGAGTTCCTTCGGAGCTGATCATTCTGTCGAGCATCAGTCTGCTCTGATTGGTCTGAAAAACAATATACTTTGGAGGTGGACAAGGCACCTTCCGCGCTCAATATTGGAAAGACACCTCACCGTAGAAGTTTGCAGTATGTGTTACTCGACATCATATAAACTGGTACTGCTGTTCAAGGACTTTTGGCAGACAAGTGTACGGCCTGCAGGAGAAGTTGCCAGCTGACATTGGCCTCCGAGCGGGTGTAATCGATCCCAGCGCCTTCGTGACTGGCAGTCGAGCCACAATGCTCCAGACTTTGCCATTACGGTGCATACGATAGTGGAGGAGAGCGGGCGAAATGTCACACGTGCATGGTCCGCCAATACTAGAAGAGGTCAATGATCTGCTAAGCCATATGGCATCTGCCTGTTATTTCTAGTCGCCAGGGATTCGCGACGCTTTCCAGTGCGAACAGCACAGCTCTCATCAGGAGCTGATGACCGTCCTACAATAAATGGGCAAGCTCAGCTTGAAGAGAACAAACTTTAGGTTCTAAAAAGAGAGTCCTAAGAGATTCTACACAAAAATACAGCCAGGTTTTCGGTCCACATCTAACACTTTGTATATGGACTTTATGCGTGTTGGCATGATCTAGATCGCACTTAAGAATCTAAAGTTCTTTACACTCTTGAGCAGTGCTCACAGATGTATTACGAAAAGCAACAGAGAGTCACGACTGTAAAAGCTGTATTGTGACGTCATGCTTGGCTGAGCCCTACAGGAAATGCAACTAGCCTGGTGACAGCAGCTTGGCTCTTCCCGTTTCTCAATTGAGCTCGCTGCGGAGCTTCTCCGGTAGTCCGGTTGATTAGGATTTGTCTACGGCCTTCCTAATGGATCTCCTGAAGGACCGGCCCGTTAATGATACATGTAAGAGTGGACATGGGTAATATTCCCAAAGTGTTTCATCTAAACTGTTTCTGGCACAAGCTATCCTCACAGCCTTTGGGATGTTCATGTTGTGGATCTATCGGCCGGCAGAAGAAGTACTTCACGTATGACAGAAGGCAAGTCAAGTTCAAAAAGTTTTGGCCTCCTAAAATCAAAAACTGGCAGACCTGATTCTACTAGCTTCGAAGTAGTCATCCGCACATGACTCTCCCCCGGAGGAGAAGACTTACCAGACGGATGCTCCAGTAACTTGTTGTGAGTTGTACCTGCCCACAGTGTATGTCCATCCGTTTCCTCCTTTAGCGCTGGCTATTCCCAAGCGCTCCGCAGACGGCCAAACACACTGTTTCCCCGATTTGTTAGCAATTAGCGCATGGACATGGACAGGGCGCTCTCTCCGGAATGACAAAGTTTCACTGTCGGGGTCCACACACCTGCGTATAATGACCGTATTTATGGAAGTCTCCTTGGCCGACTGGCTGCCCTTGATAACTACTGACCTCGTTCACCCAATTCTGGGAAGCAGTTGCGGAGGAAGCATCTCCGGTTGTTGCAAACAGGTTCTCTCCCTGGCCACTGACTCCGCTATGGGTAAGTTCGCCCCGTCTGGCCAATTAGTTGGCCCATTGAGCTGCTGCATTGGCCAGGTCATTGTCCCAAACTAGGTCATTACGTGCACGCCCTCGTTGAGAAGCTTCGTGGCGAGCTATTGCAAGCAATTTATCAGTGTCAATGATCACTGAGAAGTTTTGCACAAGTTACTTCTCACCTTGGTTCTGAATATTCAAAGCTGCGCCTTGATCAAGATTGTCTTGTCCACCACCTTGATTGCCAGGAATGTTAATGACTTGCCCAATTTGCAGGTCTTCAGAGCCATGTAGCTGAGGATTTGCGGCAAACATTTCTTCAGTTGCTGTGTCCAAGCTTAAACCGTGAGATACTCCGATCTTCCATAGAGTATCACCCTCTACGACAGTATAGGTAGGCATATTGTGATGTTGAAAGAGGAAGAGATAGAGAGAATAGATGTCAGGTAAAGAAAAGAGTTTTGCAGAATAAAGAACGAATTCCTGCAATGCTACTCCATATTTATATTACCTTTGACGGGGCTCAGCCCGTAATCTAGCTCCAGACCTTTCGCATCATCGTCACCGGACAACCAATTCATGCCAGTCGTACCAAGACCCGGCCGGGACCTGCCCAAAAGGACACACGAAGGCCACAGAACAACCTTCCCGTGTTCACAGCCCGTTTCTAAGGCCCTATTAGGCCTAGTGAATTTTAACACCATTATCACCTGCATATGCAATGTTCCATCTACTGTCAAGTGAATGAGATATTAGCTTGGGGTAAAGAGGCGTAGTCTAGGCCTTTGAAAATCTTCCTGATGGCAGATCAGCTGAAACAGCCGTGAACCCAGAGACCGATCGTGATGTCTGTCAAACCTCTCTATGAGCAACTTATTCCGGTCTCAGCAGGTCTGTTGTATGCCTCCCTATCACAGTCTGTGTTGGTCACGTCTCTTACCAATACTCGCCACTGCTTCCCTAATCTTCCTACACAAATGCCGTCCATCCGTAAGCATATCTCGCTTCAGTTAGATGCTACGAGAGTGCTGAGCTGGGTGCTACGCTTCACGGCGTTTCATTTTGGTTCACGTCTTCACTTCTGGGCGGTCAAGAATATGGACGCCGCCGCCTGCCGAGCCGAAACAAGTCCGAACGACTCCGTGCATCCAGGGCATGCCAGCATCTTATGCAGATAAGCGTCGACTACAGCTGAATCTACCGAAATAAGGTCTTCGATTCCCCACGTGGCAGTCTGGGAGAAGCCGGTAAAGCGGCTGAGGATATGTCAACGACGCTGCAGACGGCCGTTGCCTTCCACCTGTGCACAGGTGATCCAGTATCACAGCATTTCCTCCATCTACTCCTTTTCCACATGTCAGAATCATTGCCTTAGAACGGTCCAAATTCTGATTGTTTGGCGTCCGAGCTTGGGGAAGGCAATGTCTTTTTCGACTTGTATATCTTATATTGCGGCTGAACTACCTGGAGATTGATCCATCCACCTTGCTCGTATCATAGCGACCTTGCCAGCGCCTTTATCAAAATAGAGTTCCTGGTAGGATACTTTGTTCGAGAAAATTTTTCATGGTATAATCGTGTATTTGAATGCAATATATCCTTGAACACGAGACTGCTGGAGGAATGGCTCGAAATAGTATAAAGTGGTCCGATGCTTGCTGAAAGCTTACGAATCCCCACCACAACTTTGTGAGCGATTGTCGGTCTTAGAACGTCCAGGTCTTTTTCCTTCCAAGATGCCTTCGATACTCGGCTTGGGCTTGCCGGCTGACCATGTGTCCTTGATTGATAGGAATCCCAAAATTATACAAAGAAGAATTGAGTACATGGAAAACGACATGAACTCTTCTCCATATGAATGGGAGATGTTATTTGCTTCACCTGAGATGAATTTCGATATGATATCATGCAAATTACAAGAAAAGCACTGGGATATTATCATGATTGGAAGCAAGTTGACCTCTACCAACAACCAATTTCATTACATTATGCTAATACGGGTTCTTTATAGTGGGAATAAGAGCTGCCATCGATCTTACCCCGTTCTTTGAGAAAATTATCAACATGGTTCACGCGGAGTCTCCTCGATCCAAGTTCGCCTTCAACATTTGTCCTGAATCAACCAGAGATTGCTGTCGACGAGTTCTTGATCTGGAATTTACGTTGACCTGAACTTATCTCAGCGACAGAACTAGACTCAGGGATGGGGGACAGACCCTCTGTGCCGGTTTTTGCCATGAAACTTGGACATTCACGACGTTGATGACTTTGGTGGCCGGAGGAGTGCACTGGATGAAGAACGTGTTCGATCCCTTAACCCATCACCGTGCCCCAGGACGCCCACGGATGCTGATCAACGATGGGCTTGCAACGCATGAATCTGCTGATCTGCTGGAGTACTGTTTCGAGCATAATATCGTATTGTGTCACCCGCCATCACACACGTCTCACAAGCTCCAGCCGCCAGATGTTGGTATGTTTGGCACGCTGAAGACAGCTTATCGAGAATAAGTTGAACAGCTCTACTATTGTGGCGCTGAAACCGTTGGCAAACCGCATTTCTTGTTGTTGCACAGTCGTTCCTGGGAGATTGCCTCTACTCAGTCCAATATTGCATCTGCCTGGAAGAAGACTGGCTTAGTCCCTTTTGACCGTCAGCGCGTATTGAGCACTATTATTTGACCCCCTGTTGATTCCGGACTAGGAGAGACTGCTTTGCCGGATATGGCGCAGCAGACGCCCGTCATGTTTGACGCGACTGAGTGTTGGAGATGTAGCAGAAGTCTTGCGGCGACTTTCCAGGCTCGAACAGGCGGCAGCTCTTTTGTCAGAAGACATGCTGAGAGCCCAGCAAGCCTTCGGTGCAAGACATACTGAGATCATCGTGTACGCTCATAATCTTGTCACATTGCTGCGACAACAAGGCAAGATGCAGATCGCAGAAGCTTGGGAGCAATCAATAAACAGCGTCTCACACATGGCGCCTCAAATTCTGGGCTACGAAGTTATCTCGTGCGTTCTTGAAGTCTTGGTCTAGCTCCTGCGAATCCAGCTTCAGAGCGTTAAGTTGAGCTTTAAGTCGCCCGATTTCCACCTCCGCTCCTTGGATATAGTGTATGGCATCCACAAGCACGTCTTCCTTGCGCTTGAGTGATCGACAGCGCCCGGGCACTGCAGGTCGAGACGAATCATCTTTAAATCGGCCACTGGTCCCGGCTCCAACATTCTTCAAGGTCTGACGAAGCTGACTCAGTCGAAGGTTCAGGTTGTCTCTGTATCTCCGCTCTGCAGTAATGTGAGCGAGTTTCGCGCGTTCAAAATCGTCGTCGTTCGCGACTTTCGATCGCCTACGACGTTCTCGACTGTGTTCCTTCGAGCGACCCGGCCAACGACTCTGCCGGGTAGGATCTGTCGGCCTGGGAGTGTCGATTTGAACGAAGACAGACATCTCAGACGTCGAGCTATACTCAGATGGCGATGTACCTAAGTACAACAATTAGTACCAAGGTCAGACTTGGATCAATGCTCGCTGTCTTACAGTGAACCAGTGACTCCGAATGAGTAGGGCTGGCGTATGGTACAAGAGAAGACTGCGGGACAAACATCGTCGACTGTTTGTACCAAGACGTTTCCTGTTCCATCATCGTCATGCTCGCTACGAACTCGGGCGAGGGGATGTATTCTGGCCATGGCTCAGATAGGCGCTGGGCGGCTTCCATGACGAAGGAGTAGAAATTTGATTAAGGCTGTGTCCTGCAACTTTGATGATGCTCAAGATTTGAAGAACTCGGATGTCTGGTGTAACCAAAGGCGACTGCAGGGGAATCTTCATGGATATACATCTCGCCATAAATCGTTGCCGTTTTGGTATGATCCAGAACCACCGCAGCGGATATGTCATTAATCGGTGGCTGAACTCTTTACGACTTTCAGTAAGGGCACAAGCACACAGCTACACGCCTTTGGGTCAGCTACATATCAGCTGAGGAAGCCACGTTCGCCTTCAAGATAGGTTTGAAGATATAATATCAGGAACGAAAGACCCTGAAGAATCGCTAGAACGGGTGGGGCCGACACAAGCTTTAACCTCAGACCGAGTTTCGCTTGGCGAGTCGTCCGATATCCGCCTTGCCGACTCTCCGAGCGATGTCCGTGCAAGCTTTCCTCTCCGTTATTCTTGCATTTGAGCAAGATTCATTATGGAGACCCGATGCGGATGCAGACTGCTGGGTTACATATTGAGCAGACTTGATACATCCAGAGGTAGCCTAACATGCCATGGTTGGCTCATGATAAGCGAAGTCCAGCGAGCATCCTCGCTCTCCTCGGGGCATGGTTTCCGTCCAAATTTTGGTGATTACCGAATCTTTCCTCGTATAGTCAGTGTGATCCGAATCCACGTCACTCATGCTTCCAAGATCATAGTCCTACCAAGTCCTTCCAATAGGTCATGAAGACTTAGTATCAACAAGCATAGTCATTCCCCTAGCGTAGAAACTCTAATCACGCCATAGGGCTCGGTCTAGAACCCTTAGGATACGAGGGTCGCCGATCGTGGTATCCTCCCGCGGAGATGCGGCAACTCAATCGCAACGTGAAGCCCGTAAAGGTGCTTGCGTTCATAGGTAGCGGGTAAACGGCCCTTCCGACCAGAATAGCATTTGTCGCCTCCTGTGCGGTTTCGAAGTTAACGCCACGATCCCGAGCTGTCTTCGAAATCAGAACCGGCAAACCACCATTACAAGCCATTAAGCACAGCACACTCAGCGAATAGCTGTGTGTCATCTTGCAAAGCACCCTCAAGTCTAAGGCCTTTTCCAATCGGCAGATATTGGATATAATGGCCAGACGGTCCGTTGTGACTCTGTTATCACATTTTAGGGTTGCTTCAAACCCTCTTGACAGTAAAGGTCTTTGTCGCCAAATTGTTGCCCCCTCGTCTCTTCCTGGAACCATAGATTCGATCTCTGGAGATATTATGACATCATCAGTAGATCCTACGATATCTCTCACCACGTCAAAGATCCTCCGAAGCTCACTGATCAATTTAATATCGTCGATTGGTATACTCCATCGAGAGACACCACTGTAGGATTTTTTCTAAGGAAATTTCGACTTCATGCTCGTCCGTGGCGCTAGGGAAAGTGTATGTTCGTATTCCATGTAGGCATGGGGCCAGCAGTACCATATGCGGTGCGGATAGTTTCTCTTGTGACGTCCAAGTTCGGAAGAACCACCGGTCTCGGCCAATATACTTCAGGTGGCGAGCTATCCTCTTCAACGACCATGCGTCGTGTGGCACCGAGATGAACGTCGAGAGTGCATAAAGGTCCGCCATCATGTCCTGCGATGTGATAACAGTTGACATGAGTCCAACTGAATGTTGGCTTCGAGCAAATATTTCATGCATACAGCTCATATAACTTTTCTTGTCAACTTCGTTGATTTGATCGATACATTCCTGATCGATCCAGGTGTACGGAATGTTCTTCAATCGAGCATAAGGTAGGGCACGATGGATGACCCAGGCGGAGCACCGCGGTTTTCAGGCCCCGAACTTCGTCTTTATGAGGTAGTGTTCTGCAGTTGAGACGATCTGCCCCGGTTCCGAGGAGTCCCAACAGTAAGAAACTGCCAGGTAGTTTGTCTCGTCGGGATATTCAGAAGCTTCATATAAATGCAAGCGTTGCACGCCGTTGAGCCCGATGCTCGGTTCAGATGACAACAGCCTCAAGCTTTTGAAAGAAGGAGAAATCGCATCAGCTCGATCGATGAGTGCATTTTGCGGAGCCCCATTGCTAATACAAACCACGTCCCGTATCTTGACAGTCCTGTCTCTTAACGCTGACGCTAGCCGGCTAAGTGGTTGTGGTATTATCTTGATCTAGCAATAGTAACTTAGGCCATGTTGATGACGGCACCGATAAGAGATCTTTTTGAGGCCCTTAACATATGCTTATAATCCTCAATCTTTGCGAGACCAACCATAATGAGCTCCTCTATCGTCTCAGCCTCTAGTTTCTCCTTAAAGAGGCTAATGACTCCATTCGTCTGGTTTGAGTCAATCATAACGCTCATAACGAGGCTCGTCTCATCCCGCAGCTCCCACGATGCGTGGCCTTGCAACTCTCCACCGGTGCCTTTCCAATATACAGAGCCAAGTCCACCGCTGGCAATAAACTTTTGCTTACTTGTGCTTATTTTGATATCGTGGTTGCGTTGTAGGAGTTTTATCTCAGTGAAAGCTCGAGGTAAAGCATGGAAGTCTAGTACTGCGACTTCTGCATTTTGGTTTGAAGGGGATGTAACGTAACACTTGCTGCCCCAAGAACCAAGTACTGACTCTCTTTTGAGTTCGTAATGCGGTAGTCCACCGCCGGCCACACTTAGAATACGACGGTGTTCTGCAACGGCGGTATATCGAATCTCATGAATAGGCTGGTCCGAGCTGCGTCGCGGGTCTGGGGTGGCATCCTCGCGCGTGATGAACTTTTCGAGCCAGGCGGGGGCCATGTTTCAATGGTAGGGGCCGAGAAACTGCAGCGCGGCTAACCGAATGATTGCGAGAGTTGAGAAAGTTGGGTTAACCTCAGGCTGCTGGCTAGCGATGAGAATGACGAAACAATTACAGATGCTGACTTGCTCTTTATACATGTGTACTGCTCGGCCCCAACGCCCTTTCTTCACTCCTTCCGGGCAAAAGCCGTACTATAGTACATGGCCAAAAAATTGCAGGTGGGTCGGGTGGCCGAGAAGCGAAATGAGTGCGCGGCCAAATTCCCATTGGTTCCATTTACCTTAGTGCAATTCTACCCAAATGAAACCTCCACTCCCAGCAGGGATGAAGGGGTGGAGGCATCCAGAACGCCCTGACCACCTACAAGATCTTTACCCTTTGTACCAACCTATGATTGAGAATCAGCTGTTGAGGCTTAGCTGAACTATACGGAAGCGGGAATGTATTAGCAAAGCATAGTATAGCATCGGGACTACTCACGGCGCGATCCTTTGGTCCAAAGCTAAGAAGAAACCGAAGGAGCTTCTTGAGACTGTCCCCTGCATTACATCGATCACCCTATTCCCAGTGCTAAGTCGCGTTATTTAATGTCCCGTAGAAAAGGCTTCCCGAGCTGCAGCTGCTGTGCGCCGCAAGTGTTGCGACTGGATTGACCACAGCGCATGCAATGCATACTGTACCTTAGCTGATGAACGTGCTGTAACTTCCAAAACCAAGTCGAGGAAATGCAGCCATAGTCTTTGAAAACTATCCGCATCTTATGGATGAGTCGAGACCACTCTCTTCAAGTCGTCGCATTTGTAACTACAGCATATTCAAGCTATTCCACGTTGTGAGAAACAAAAGCATTGCATGCCCGTGTGTACTTCCAAACCGTTCTGAATCAGCGGCAAAGCAATGCTTCATGCTAAGCGCATAATCTGACGCTTTGTATTCCCCTCATCACTAAGCCAAGACAAGTGCCGCTCCCAAAACTGGTGGATCGGAAGCTGAGCCCTGTCCAATCCATCTTCCATCATAGCGCCTGGACTCGAATCTGTCATCTGCCGCCAGACTTGGGAGGCTTTGCGTTTCCACGTCACATCCGTGGTCTCTTTGAGCATATTTTCGATACCACACCAGGACCTGGTCGCCAGTAAAATTTCATGGCAGGCGAGCGCATATTCCAGGCAATCGAGGAACAGATACCAGCACTCAGCTTGCTGCTTACTGTCAAGCTCACTGTACAGGCCGTACTGTAAGTATCGGGAAAATGACCATACCGTCCTCTTCGTGGCACAGTCAATGGAGACCAGGAACCCGCCTCTGGTGGTGAATGTCGCATGCGCCCACCCGGACGGGATGAAGACGGCGTTGGCGGAATCAAGCCTGTCAATTAAGCCATGTTCCAGAAGAGGCATTGTACGAGCTAGTTTGGCCTGATTACCGCGTTCTCGCTGCAGCACTCCCAAGTTGTGACAAGACGGGGGAAATAGGACGATGAGCTTCTGGCAGTCCCCCAGAACTGCTGATATGCCATCCATGCCGTAGTCTGCGAACATCAGCAGGAGTCAAATAACGGCAAGCGTATACTACCAATGTGGAGGTCGACATAGGAATATTGAGGAGTGACGTTGATGACCGGAACTCGCTCAAGAGCGGTGGTCACGTGGCGGTGCAGCTCTGCACAGCTTCCGAATTTCCATCGAGACAGCAGATCTGGAAAGTCGATGCCGATGATGCTTGCCGGATTTCGGTTATCCGGGTGTATGAGCTGGGACAAAGCGGATGCTGCCATAACGGACGGCTTTTCAGATAATTCTTCGCGCTCAAAAACCCGCAGATCAACTAGGTGTCAGTTTGGTATGAACCAGATGACGAAGACTTTACCTTTCTTGGGGGATCTCCACACATGGGAAAACACTTGATGGAATGTAGGCGGTCCTGTCTGACCCCATGCTCCATTGGCAGGCACAATCCTGGGCATTTCGATGCAGTTTTCTTCGCATAATTCCTGCACGTTTGGACTGGGTGCGGAAACAAGTGACATGTTGCAGGGGTCCCATTGATCTGGTAAGTGACGACGAAATGCTGGGTCTTGACGGAGTTTATGTAGCATGTCATCTGCCACGGACGTGGCTTGGTCGTTCACGTGGCGAATTATACATCTTCTCGTTGGACGAGGAACCTTGAAACCTTTGATGCGGTAAGCTAGCAGTCTTTGCGAACCTCACTGAGAGTCCTACCTTGCTCACGAAGACAATCTGCCCATTCTTTCAATACGGGATGACAACGGATGCGTTCTTGATACTCGGGCTCTCGCATTTTCGCGAGCAGCCGCGGCAGACTGCTGGTTCGACGTGTCAGGCTGTCGTAGCCAAAGGCAGACACAAAGAGGATGAAAGTCTCGATGGAGACATCAAAAGTCCACGACCATATCTCGAGAATGCTGGACCGTGTATGACAAGGGTTTTGGCAACGACGAATAGCATTCTGGATGTTGCGTTCGTAGCGACGGGATCGTAGGTTGGCATTTCTGAGCGTTGCTTCCAGATACTCAAGATCTTCAATCATTGTGACGTAATATCGGTTTCTCGTACTCTGCTAATAGGTAGTGCTATAACAGCATGTGCGCTTTATCAGTGTGGTCGCAGTTAAATCGCAGTACATGAGCAGATTTGGTAAGTAGACGTGTGGTTGTGTGGTTGTGTGGTAGTGTGGTTGTGTGGTTGTGTGGTTGTGTGGTTGTGTGGTTGTGTGGTTGTGTGGTTGTGTGGTTGTGTGGTTGTGTGATTCACGCAGATGCTACTGGTGGTGAGGTGTGCTTTTAAGCACAGCTATAGACCAACAAATGGCTGTACCACGCAATGCAACAGCCACGCGCAGTGTCAGTACCAAGACCAACCACCAGCAGACAACGTGGGCTTTTGATGGTCGCCTTGAAACATAAGAAGGGCCCCATGGCACTACTTTTACATGAAAATACAGATGATTGGCTAGTCGTCATTATCGTCGACCGAGAACCCCATCAAGACAACAATGACGCTGTTGGAAAATTCGCAGTATCAGGATCTTGTGCCCAATGTCACGGAGCCAGGTTTCGACCTCGCTTCCAACCATCGTAGCGACAGTCAGGCAGACTTACGTGATGATGCAGAACAGCCATGGATGGAGATGACGCACGCCGATATACAGCAAGCTTCGAGTGTACAAGATTCCGAGGTCCATGCGCCGAACGCACAGGACCCAGACGCACAAGACACAGACGCACAAGACACAGACGCACAAGACACAGACGCACAAGACACAGACGCACAGGACGCAGACGTACAAGACACAGACATTGATTGGTTAGACAGTGAAGCGTCAGACAACGAGAAATTAGACTGTAAAGAACCATTCAACAAAGGGTCGGATACGAAAGAGACAGAAGAGCGAAGTACACAAGCGCCCAGTGCATCACCGGCAGGACGGGTAACTAAACAATTGATAAACAGCATATCTTCTGTTGCGCCGTCCGCGGAAAGGATTAAAAGAATCCACAGCCCTTCCTCGCAGACCCTGTCGAAGAGAATCAGAACAACTCAACAAGTGGCAGTACACTCTAGGAGCAAGACATGGGGGATTACAAACGGGAATCAATTCGCATCAAGGGTAGACAATATCCCTGAGCAGATTCGATTCTTCGATTTGCACTTCGACAATGACTCAAAGGAATACCGTGTTACTCGCCTCCGGGGAGATATTCGCAACTGGCATGATCTTCAACCCGATTCCACCTGTACGTGTCAGGACGAGACGTTCCGGCGCGGCGACCTTGTTCATATCAAGCTACACGGCAAGACGGACGTTAGACAAGGAGACAACCTGGCGCGTGTCGATGATATCAGAATGCTCTCGGTGGGTGATGAACGAAGACTGGTGTTGATCACATGGCTCTATCTTGCCGACGGTCGATTGTATGAGAGCAATCACCTACAAATTGTGCTCTGGGATACCATTACAAGACGCGCAACTCAAACCCTGGCCAACAAAGTCCAACCCCTTCAGCTGTACAATGTCTGCGGGGGCAAGAAGCTCTGTTCTGCTCAGCAAGCCGAGCGATGGCATGTGAGGAAGGCGCGTGTGCTCAGCCAAGATTACTCACCGGGTCCTGAATAAGGCCAAGATTAAGGCAAGAGATAATATGAAAGGCAGCTACAGTACACGTACATGCATGCTAGCCTGTTGTTCGCTGAGCGAAATTTACTTTTGTGTGCTTGATCTCCCTTAATTGTAACGTTTCTCCACCTGAGTATGTATTTCAAGACGCTTTGCGACTTCTGGCAAACGATGGCCGGACAGGCTGATGAGCACCGAGGTGAACATACCATTCGAGCCTGGTTGTCGAGTATCGCCGCAGACGACCTGGAGACCAGCTCGAACCTGCTGGCTCTGACATCTTGTCTATTCCCTCATCGACGGCGCGATCGAGTGTACGGCTTGCGGGAGAAGTCACTAGCCGACATTGCCATTCGTGCATGGTCCGTCGGCCACAGTCGTGCTCGACGCCTTCATGAATGGCAATCAAGCTGTGGTGCTCCAGACTTTGCTGCTACTGTCCGGACACTGGTGGAGGAGGGAGGCCAAGTTGCACACGTGCGTGGTCCACCCACGTTAGAAGAGATCAATCACGTGCTGGACCATCTGGCATCTGGCTGCCCTTTCTCGTCGCCAGAGATTCGAGCGTCGTTTCGACATGAAAGCAACAGCCCACGCCAGGGCCTTATTGAAATGCTGCAACGGATGAGTGGCTTGGAAGCAGAATGGATGTGCCGATTGATTTTGGGCAATCTAGGTCATGTCCAATTGCCGGAAGAGCTGGCGATGAATCTACTCCATCCTGCATTCTGGGCCGCTCTCCAAGTACATGATGGTCTCGTTGACGCTGTGGCACTGATGAAGCCTCCCCATAGAGACAGAGAGTCAGGATTGCCACGCTGGCAAATATCGGAATGGCGACCACAGGTGGGCACTGCTATCCGCCGTCCCACTTTTGAAAAAGCCCGAAGCATCCCGCATTGTCGTCAACTGCTCGGGCGACAACTGGTCTGTGTTGAGCGCAAATATGACGGAGAATACTGTCAGATCCATGTTCGCCGCCTGCCAGCAGGGGAAACAGATATCAAGATCTTCTCCAAGAGTGGACGGGACTCGACCGCAGATCGTACAGCACTCATTCCTACGATTCATCAGTGTCTTAACATTGGAAAGCAGGACTGTCAAGTCAACACGAGATGTGTACTGATTGGTGAGCTGGTGGTCTGGAATGATGCGCAACAGGACATCATGCCGTTCTACAAGATCCGCCGATACAGTCTGCGGGCTGGTCGACGTCTTGGTTGTGGGCGCGACTCACCTCCTCTGCCTGAGGAGCATCTGATGATCGTGCTCTTTGATTGTCTACTCCTCGATGATGTCGATTGCATATTCGAACCATATGTGCAACGACGAAAGCGACTGGCACATGTTGTACGTCCTTTGCCAGGACTTGCTGTGATCAGTGAATACACGCAGATAGACATGAGCAGCGACGATGCAACTAGTCAAATCACACACCGACTAGCGCACGCGATTTCTCATCAATGGGAAGGACTTATATTCAAGCCTTCTGAAGCGCCCTACTTCACCCTCGAAGGGCGCCAGCAGCATCAGGTGAAATTGAGAAAGGACATGATCCCAGGCTTAGGCGATGCGGCCGACCTCGTGGTCGTTGGGGGAGCTCACGACGCAACATATGGCGCATCCGAGTGGTGGACGACTTTGTACCTCGCATGTGTTGATCCGCCCGCAAAATACGCAGACGATCCGACATTGCATAGCTTCCGTATCGTTGCTGCCGTGTCGCGACCTGCTATTACCCTTACAGATATGCGGTTCCTCAATCGACATGGAAAAGCGCACTACCTGACACCTTTCGACGGGTCTGCCACTCCTCACATTGAGACTGAGCTGACAGGCCAGCCTCCTCTCAGCGCGATTTTCATGCGCCCTCTCGTGGTCGAAGTGGTGGGGGCCGGTTTTGACCGTTTGCCAAACTCCCGATTTGAGAGCCTCCGGTTTCCGCGTGTGGTCAAGATTCACCTGGACCGATCGTTCCGCGACGCAACAACGACTGAGCAATATCTCCACATGGCCGAGCGAAGTCAACGCGGTGACAACGAGGCCGATGACACCAGCTTTCAATACTGGCTGTCTCGTTTGACTGAATGCGGAGATCGGCCGGACACTTCGAGATTCGCATCGGGAACTGCTTCATGTTCAGCAAAGTGATCACGGCAACGACACAAAGATAGCGAGGAGGTCGTGAATAAGAGGATCTGTACACATGGCAAGCATGAGGGTTTTGAAAAGGGACAAACCTGAATAATGTAATGCACTTTCTAATCAAGCACAATCACGCGTCTTCAGCAGTCTCTGAGCGGGCGCCATTGTTTGCGTGACGAAGCAAAGGAATCAAACCATAGTCACGTCCGATACAACGGCAGCGCTTCACCGCACGAGGTGCGCCCCTATTAGCATAAGAGGCCATCTCTGGCCATGAATCATGGACTACATGCTACGTTCATATTGGTCCGTGACGAAGACGTAAACCCTGAGCAAGTCTTGTGCTGGATGACTTACTGCCGTGCCAAGGTGCAAGGACCACAGTAACGATTTGTCCGGTGTGGTCCGTGCGCTTGCTGGTAAATTTTGATGGACATAGGCTGAGCAGTAGCCCACCGCTACTAGCATGGACGTATCCTAAAGAAACCTGCAACGGGGTGTTTGAGCCGGTACTGTACAGTTGAAGTAGAGAATGCTGATCTTACAGCGGGCACCACCCTGACCCTGAAAATAGACCACGACAATAGGGGAAGAAGTTGTCAGCCAATACATCACCAGCAAAATTGTGTTTCAGGATATGTGACCGCTGGGCAACCAGACCAGCCTTGCACACCTCGTAGCATGATGGGTCCCAGCGTGCGGTTTGGGTGATGACCCAATCTACTGGGCGATCAATTCCGTCTGTGAGCCTGCAACGTGCGCCGAAGGAGCTCTTCAGCAAAAGCAAACGAGGCGTTAAAAGATGGCCTACCAGGGGCCGTACGATCCAACCCGCAACCGACCAATCATCATTCTTCGAGGTTCATGGAAGCGGTCGTCTTGCGGCCGCATGCCCTGAAACTTGCGCTAGCAACCATCATTTCATGAGGCTGTATTGCAACGCGGTTCAGGGTCAAAGAGACTGCCAGCTGGCGTTCTTCGCCTCAAATGATCCGTGCTTGCTCTTCTCTCGACGTCCTTTAGTGTGCCATCCTCGCGCTGAATTGCAAGCTGTGTGACTACACCAATATGTCATGCACAAACGCGAGCCGGAAACTTGGTCAGATTGCCAAAAGCACAATATGAGTGTACACTCTACGTCGCGGAGGCGACACATCTGATCCGAGCATGCCAGCGACATGGCTGCATTTGGCCGACTCATTTCTTCTGGCAGAGGGTCCTGATGGCACCATCGGAAGGCCTCCGTGAACCAAAAGTTGCACATGAGCGGGTCAGAAACGCTTGCAGCACACAACTGATTTTGCTGTTCGTCACTCCAAGAAGAAATCCTCAACGGCGAGTAGTCCGCTGGCGATATCGGCGTCAATGTCTCCAGCATACCACATGCAGTCTCTCACAAAGGCCTGGCCAATGACTATGTGTAATGTGGGGATACAACAACGTATGTGCTTCTCCCAGCGGCAACCCACGGTAAAGCAGGCCTTAGAGGAGTGAAGGATGTTTATACCTGTATGTCTTGATTTGCGAAGGATTACGGGGACTACTGGACCTAGCAGTATCCAAGTTGAATGCCTCATTATCGATCAAAGCATTCAAGGATGATCGAACACAACGCCCCCGTATATTCAAACTTCCTTGCGAGAAAAATTCACCGAAGTAGAGACGTCTTCTGGAACGCGTGCGCCAATCTCGAAGCTCGATTTGCTCCGGGGTCAGCGGTGGGAAGGCGTCGATGAGGTCCAAATCACGGATGAAAGCACCAGGAGGAAAGGATTTGGTATCGACGACGAGAATTTCAAGATCCTGGCTCGGAACTTGAGCATGTCCAAGATTGGCATGGCTACTTCTGTATATCCCATATAGTATGGCAAACAGCAGCGAACTGGTCCACGACATCAAGTTGCAGGTAGCTTCGTGCTCCTTGTCGCCCCATCGGAGATGATCGTAGATGAGTCGACGGGCATCGTCGGGGTGCCGTTGGAAGAGAATCATTCAAGATATCAGGTGTTTCTGTGGATACACCCATACTGGTGAGGTAACTTCCAACTCTGTTGTCCTCCCCGCGGTTGTGGGTCCATAGAGGCGGAAAATATAGGTTGGTATATTTCCCAATGAGTCGTGGAGCTCTCGATTGGACGGATCTGGCCGAAATAGCTGTGGGGATGGCTGGCTAGACGTTAAGGTGGACATAGTAGCTTTCGCGATGGTCTAATCAGGTGTAACTGACAAGTCTTGTAGGAATCAGCACTTCTTCGTGCCAAGTGAACAGCAAGGCAGGAAATAGAAGAGCGTTGTTGGCCATGCATCGGTACTTCAAGCGTAGAACATACGCTGCTGCCTGCCGAATTCTGGACCGGAAACGCACCATGCACATGTTGCATCTGCATTTGACGAAGGTCATACGTGGCACACGAAGGCGCCTACCAACCCCGGACCGCTCCCTGCAGCTTTGTGCCATCCTTTCCACCTGGCGTAGGCAAAGTAATGTGACAAACTTACTTCTGATTGCTTTACGGTCCAAGGTCGCCTTTGACATCGCTAGATCTCCCGATTGAACTATTCCGCTGCTCGTCTACGTGCCTTGCTCAAGCTCATACAGCACTAAGCAGGTTTAGCAGATCCTGCGGTATTTCGTTTAGAACTGCGCTTAAGTCTTGGAAAATGTCTCTGTGGTCCCCTGCCAGAAGCAGAGCTCCTGCTGTCGTCGAGGCCCCAACAAAAGCGTCCTCACCCGCCACTTCCAGAGCCTTGATAAGACTTGACTGTTTACACTCAATCCGAGATGCTAGAGCCTGGAGAGTCACGTCACGTATGGAATTATTCTGCCTGTTGGGGACTGTGAGCTCTAAACAACCCAAATTGGACGAACGTACACGATGGTCTCCGCAATTTGGGGAAACATTAATACCAAGATGGGTGCTCGGCCAGCGAGCATCTTCTAACGTCGACCTAACCGGCAATACGCTAGAACCCGGCCTCTTTCCGAAGTCTTGCCCGGAGTCTCTTGCATCGCTTGAAGATATAAATCTATGGCCACCGTGGTATCTCTATGACCACGCCATCTGCTGCGATCAGACTGCGTGCGATCGTCGGCTGCCGTTGCCTTAGCGTCAATTAAAGAGATTAACCGAATAGATGGAAACCGCGAAAGAAGACGACAAACCCGAATTCCGGCCAATAACTCCCGCACGGTTTCGAAAGTAGCAATGACCGATCTCTCAAGAATGCTGCTTCGGCCTCCTAGTGGCGAGACTGAGAACGGCTGCATACTCTCACGGATTGAATTCCGATTCTCTAGAAAATCAGCATTCGCCGATGTGGGCGGCAGCACGACGAGGGGCACCAGCGGTATCAGGTGAAGATGAGGAAGGACATGATTCCCGGCTTGGGCGACACAGCCGATCTGGTCGTCATAGGAGCGCGCCGTGATACGGATTGTGGCATGTCGGCGTGGTGGACGACATTCTATCTGGCATGTGTCGACACAAAGGCGGAGAGTGAGGATGGTCAGAGCCTGCCGAGCTTCACCATCATTGCCACCGTGTCCCGCATGGCTATCACCACCGCCGACATGAGGTACCTCAACCGATACGGCAAAGCGCATTATCTATCCCCTGCTGATGCTTCTCTCACACCGCGCATTTGGACTCCGCTTGCAGGTCATCCTCCGCCTTCCGCTATCTTCATGCGTCCACTTGTGGTCGAGGTCGTGGGCGCGAGTTTTGACCGCTTACCCAATTCGCGGTTTGAGAGCCTTCGGTTTCCACGCATCGTCAAGGTGCACTTGGACCTCTCGTACACCGATGCGACAATCACCGAGCAATATGTGCAAATGGCTGCGAAGAGCAAGTGCTGATCGAGAATACCGCGGACAGCCATCAATATCGGGCATCCAGACTCAACGGATCCCACGATCACCTGAAGGTTGCGTCGAGCTCGGCTCCAATAGGTGAACCAGCACGGCCATCACGGAAGCGAAGAAAGGCGGGTGAAGAAGTGGCGATTGCTGATGCGGACAAGAGGGTCTGTGCATAAGATAAGGATGGAGGTTTCCTCGGTGTTGCTCATCTCGAGAATGATAGGTGCGGGAAGCTTCAGGCTGTTATTAGAAGGTATGCTTGCACCAGCTTAAAGAGAGCATCGGTGTCTCGAAACCGTTATTGTTATGCGGGATCAGCTCCATAGTATAGAACCGGAATAAAGCGCGAATTGGTCTCTGACGCACGGATCACAGCGACGGCTTGCCTGTTGTGGCCCGTGCGCGAGCCATGCGGTGGCAGGTAGACTGTTCGAGCACGATCTTCTCGGTGTCTGAAGAAGATCACGTGAAATTGGTTAAGCTTTGTCCTAGCCACATCGCCATAGCGAGCTCTAGTCAGAAGACTGCGCGGCTACAGTTCAGATAGAGAGTGCCTATGTCGCGATGGGCATCTCGTTGACCCCGAAAGCATACCACGGAAACGCGTTGACGACTACGTCCACCAATCAGCGAGCAGGCGAGGTTTCAGATATGCGACCGCTGGCCGGCCACCTTCACACACCTCGCACAATCTTGGGTCGCAGCATGTGGTCAATGACGTAACCTCAAGTAACAACTACAGTCTATTATTTTGCGAGGTGTCGAAAAGTGGCACATCCGCCGGTGCACGGGAGAGCAATCGAATGCCTGCCACCGCATGCCGAGGTGTGCCAGAGCGGTCACTATGTGGCCGCATATCCTGAAACACGAACAAAGGGCCAAAATACGCCCACGAGTTGTGGTGGCTGCGTTTCAGGGTCAACGAGATGCCCACATGAGGCTGATGACTTTCGCCTCGAGGACCGGACTCATTGCGCTTTCATACTGTAGATAAAGGCTCCATACCGGACGATATCTGCCAGTATCATTTAGGTGTTCAGCGCACTCTGGGTCAATCGCAGAACCCCGTTCAGAGACCATTCTACGTCATGCTATCGCACGCTGCAAAGTCGTTTGTTGCAAGTCCTCAAAATCGGCGAGAACAAGACCTCGTGGAGAACTAGGTCAATCCCCGCTGGTTGGTGTCGCATATGACGGTCGAATATGAGCGGACGGTTCTGCGTGACAAGTGAAGCAGGCAATCTAACCATCCACGATGCCGACGATCTACACACAAGCCGTCGTAGATACCTTGAAGCGTAATCGACGCCGTTCTCTAGTGCGAGCATGCATCTCAGTGATGGCGTTTCTCCTCCGAATGAAGTTCCTCGAGCTCTCGGCGATCTTGTATATTCCCATCCGTGTACCACTCGGAGTATCATCACGTGGCTTTCCCGGACACGTTGAATGCTTTGGGAAGAAAGACCTACGAGGGGGAAGCCGCATAGAGTGACCTGCTTCAACCTCAACGAAGTTATCCTCTGAAGCGAGTTTCTCGCAAGCTGTATCCTCCTCTGGTGGCTCGCCAGTCAATTCCATGCAGTCAGCAAGAGGTACATTATCCCAACCCTGAGGAGGTCTAGTCGGAATGATCACCTCGATAGTAGTAAGTTTGGATTCAGCGCTTTTGGGCCGATTACTGCGAACAGCTGATCGACTCTGTTGTCGAGGAGGCGATGTGTGTCGGCCAGAAGACGAGGAGGACGACGACGATACCGATGATGAGACACTATCCAGTATCTCTAACGATTCGTCTGTCTCATACTGCAGATCTTGGTCATGGTTTGTACTGATTTCCATGTTCAAGGCTGGGGAAGCTGCATCATCATTATCGTGGCGGCCGCCGTCCTCACACTCTTCCGCAAAGACCGCGCTCGTGCGACCCGGGCGCGCTGATAACCCTCTTGGAGATGAGTGGGCGACTGCCCGAATTGAGTCCTGTGAAGAAGCTTCACATGGCTGGGAGTGTGATGTTCTCCCGGACTGCAGGTGTGCTGCATCACAGGGTTCTTCTTCAGCAGCCGGGTCTTTGTTAGTTGTCTTGGCACCTCGAGACCTGTTGTCCACAACACCATCCGGCACAGGGATGAGATGGACGTCAAATCGATGCGCAACGTACTCGGCAATCGACTCGTAGCGTTCCAAATGCGCGCAGCGCGGGTGCGAACACTGGTATTGTCCCGGTCGGAGCTCGTGGACATGTTTGTCCATGTGAGCTTTCCAGGCGGTCACATTAAAGAATTGTGTCAGGCCTTTGCCACCGCCCCCGGGCTTTTCCAGCTGAATCGTGCAGTCTGGACACCATGCTGGTCGGATCACCGTACCGCGGAACGTAGCCAAGTTGCATTTCAGAGGTACATTGTGGCCGTGCTGGCTCGCGTGCTCCGTCCATGCGTCAACATGGTCAAACCATGCAAAACACAGAAAGCAGAAGTCAGTGAAATCACCTCGGCGTTTGAAATCTTCCTTTCGGCAGTGATAGACATGTCGCCACCACTCCTGGCTGGCAATTTTCGGACGAGCACCGCCACAGGTGTCACAGTGCGAGCGCGAACTGTTGAGTTCAACACAATAGGTGTCAGGGTTTCGAGAGGAGAAGAGGGCCACCAAGTCACTCATAAGGTCAATGCCTTCAGCACTTCTCAATGAGCCGGTCTGGAAGAGGCTCCCGGCAAGTCGGTCTCGCTGCGGCATCAGGCGTCGGGCTTGCTGAAAGTCGGATTCATACGCACAACCTTCCGACCTGGTGCTTCCTTGACCACTGCATCGTTGATTGGTGCGGCGGACAGTATCTCGCTGTCGACGACGATCGTCGTAGAGCTTCTGGCGCGCTCGCCGGTCGGTGACACCGTTGTCATCCTCGATCGCGGGCTGCGCATCGCTTATTTGATTCTGCAACCGTAATGGCATCTCTGGCTGATATTGATAATCACGGCGAATGGAAAACCCGCGGAAGAGTTCGTGCAATTTGGGCAGTTGCTGCTCGAGTCCGAAGTACGTGGCCTGCCCATCGACCGTGGAGATGGCATTTTGATAGTAGCCGCCATACGTGTTGGGGTTGCGATGATCGGCATGCCGCATCCGCTCATTGATAGAATAACCGTGTCCTGGGTGTGTGTCAGCGATGGCTCTCGCTGGAAATGTCTCGGGTTGACCAACGATCTACTTGCAAGAGTGCTTCACGACGGATGGCGCCCGGTGTCGGCCTGTCGCGAAATCCTGTTCGCTGCCCAAGCAGGGCTAGGGCGCCGATGAGCGAGGTTGCTGCCTTCGTCTCACCATCCGGCGCGGCACTGTATCGGGCATAGACATGTCGGTCGAGCACAGTTTCGGTGTAGTCCACCCAAAGGAAATTGCGATCTGGCGGCTTCGTCGCTGCACACAGGTCAGACCAGGTGTCGAAGTTGCGCAGCCCCTGTATCGACAGAAGTCCAGCCACAAAGAATGCCACTGTATTGTAATAGAAGGGGAGATCGACGAGCTCATATAGCAGGTGTTCGGGCCTGGAATCATCAGCAGCCAATCTTCCAGCACTGGATCAAGCATGCAAACTGTTGACGGGGCAAGTTGGCGAGACCCTTGGTATGGTTCCGACACAGATCAATCACCAGCTGCGGATGGGGACGATCTTCGAACCAGACTTGATAGAGCACCGTATCCTGCACGCTCAGCAAAACCGCCCGCCGATGAGGGGTGGAGAAACGGACACGGTACCGCAGATTTATTACATACTCAGCTGATCGAGCCGACGTCCCAATATGCATGAGCATCATTTGGTGAAGTCCAATTCGATAAGCTTCACAATTGAAGTCGTACCAATCATTCTGCCACAGCTGTCGCACACAAGCCTGAAAATCGGTCAGCGTAAAGTTACGCGTGACGCGACGCGCTGTGCGGAGGTTCAGCCAGTTGTTGTCACCTCCATAGATCAGCTGGGTGACGGTCAACCTTTCACTCCCGGATGCGGTGCGTCTGACACTGACCGTCTCGATGGTGTTTTGAATACTCTTGGAGAAGATGTCGCCCGTGCGCCGATGCCACGCTGACATGAAGCTTTTCCAGCAAGTATACATGGAATTCTGCGTGATGTGCTGGGCCACACCACTGTCCGGCACGGGCGAGCTTAGGCGCCCTTTCCTTCCGTCAGCGTACCATTTCAGGAATTTCTTCAGCGTCGTCACATTGAGTGGCGACAAGTTGACCTCAGATGTCGACGCGAAACTAGCACACCAGTCAGCAGGGCGTCGAGCGAGGTGGTTTCAGCACTAACGTGTCCCATTCCTGCAACATGCGATCATAAGCTGCGCTGGTTAATGGCCGAATGGGCTTCTGAACAAGGTCGGCAGTGGCCGTTGCAGCCCAGACATCGAAGTTGCGCTCCTCACGAAGGCGCGCTTGCCGGGCTCGCCGTCTGATGACCGTCGTGTCTTTCATCTTGACGTTGTGTTCCGAACCAAGGAGAATGAGACACTTGCTGTGAGGGACGCCTGAAGTCGTCAAGAAGAGAAGGAATTCGCAGCAGGGCTGTGAATGAAAGGGAATTTGGCAACCAGCCGGTCAACCACGTAGACTTGACGTGTTTAAAGCACCCCTGAAGACCCTTGTCCACAGACTTCTGGTGCTACGGAGCCCCATCATCGAGCCAAAGCAGCCTTAGCACACACGGAGTCCATCTCACCACGGCCATTGCGCTGATTGAGCGCCTAAGCCACTCAGACACGATTGGGACCAGCAGGATCCATTGCAAGAACCCATTGGATCGTGGCGTTCCGAATCCTTTTATGTTTCGACAAGCAGCTGGAACGGCAACATGTGGCATCCTGTCGCACAGAACATACGAAGTTGACCGTGGTTGGGTTTTGTCACCCACTAAAACCCCGTCAACGAACTGGGGACGGTATCCTTGGGTAGTTGTGGTCTAGCATACAGGCTACCACGACATCGTGTGTAACCTTTCCGTTTCCGTGGACTCAGCATACTGTCCCTCTGCTTTCGTGGGTGTATGTCCCTTCCGTTTTCGTCGTAGATGACCCTTTTTCCGTGATCCCAGCCCTTACTTTTCCGAGGTGTGTAATCCTTCCGTTTTCGTGGTGTGGCCCCCTTCCCTTTTCGTGATCTTCAGTAGCACCCATGCGGTTCCGTGGTCTTACCATATTAGGCAACAGGATACCACGATGGGATCAGGCGTGAACACCGATCCAGCCAATCCAGGGGGTGTCAACCTCGCACGACAGAGGTTCGGTGGCGACCAGATGGGCTACGGTGGGCTCAGGGTGTGCTCAGGGTGTGCTCGGGTGTGCCAGGGGTGTGCTAGAGCGGCGCGAGGGTGTGCCCAAGGGGGTGGCCGAGCCTGAAGAATCTGGGCTGTAGTACTAGTATTTATTAAGATCTAACTACTATTCTTATACTTATAAAGAGCTTAGTTAAGAATTAATATAGTGTTATTAGAATTAAGTTTAGACTTTATTATTATAGTTAATATCTATATTTTTAAGTTATCTATAGTCTTAGATTTTAGACTAGAATTCTTTATCTTATAAGAGCTATTTATATATTTCTTATATATATAATCTCTTATTTAAGTACTTCAGCGCTAATTCTTCAGGCTCGGCCACCACCTTGGGCGCACCCGCCCGCCGCTCTAGCCCACCCTCGGCCCACCCGGAGCCCACCCAAGCCCACCCTGGCACCACCCGACTACGATTCAAGATGGGTCGACCCCACGAAGATAGCCGTGTCGCTGGGATTTGTCCATCGACCCATTGCACATTGTGGTCGACTCGTGGACGAGGTCACCGAAGACCACGGGCTCCCACACAATGGAATGGGCGAGTGTCTTGGCAGTGCATACCCTGCGGATTCTGTGGTGGCCGAGGCGCTATAACGTTCCTCCGCTTGCCACAGAGGAAGAGTTGTGGAACATCCACGCTCGGCTATCCCTGATGATGTGTTGAACCACGACTGTTCGTGTCTGTACGGTGTCAAGACAGTACACCCCAGCAAAGGCAACTTCAATGGATTCCTCGCCTTTGGTGTGGTTGGTTCGTCCGCTGGCCACTTCTGATCCCCTTGTGTTCCAAGGGTACATCGTCAGCCTTCTGTCAGAATCATGGATGGTGTACCACGAGTTGTGGTTGCCATCTCTACCTACTGGTCGTGATATCTATGGATCTCGATGGACACTGCTCCTATTGGCTGTGGTGGCCAGTAAGATCAGCCGAATACGGAGTATATAGGAGACACAATCCGCTCGTATTTCTGTTGCTGTCCCCTTCTCAGTCCTCTTCCTTTCTCCTCCACATTCTACAATTTTCAATCTGTCTCCTCTGCATGGCCGATCTTAAAAGACAGCATCGACATGAAAGATTCACCAGCCATTGCGAGGCGGAGGGCACGGCAAGCTCGCCTTCGCGATGAACGCAGTTACCATACGTGGATCGCCACTGTCACAGCAGACATCGTCCAAAAACCTGTTCGACCGTTGACCGAGGCGGCCTATGGCCGTATGCTACAGGAGTGGGAACAGTAGGTAGTGAGACCTGATCATGAATATACACGTACTGATTGTTGTGCCAGATTCGCGGCAGAAATGAGCCAGGACGTGTCACCGCTCGATATGGTCACATTGAAGAAGTTCTTAAAGTGGTACTGCGATGGTAGGAAAGGACGCTTGGCCACCGGGTCGGACGGTGACAAGGAACAGCGAATCACGCAAAACTCGGCGTACACCTGCTGGAAAAGTTTCATGACGGCGTGGCATCGTCGCACCGGCGAAGTCTTCTCCAAAAGTATTCAGAACACCATCGAAACGGTCAGAACATGGTCCAACGCGCCGCGCAGATTCAATGCTGATCACGACGCAGCTGATCTATGGCGGAGATAACAACTGGCTGAATCTTCGCACCGCTCGTCGACCCACACGAAACTTCACGCTCATGGACTTTCAGGCTTGTGTGAGACAGCTGTGGCAGAATGACTGGTACGACTACCGTTGCGAGGCATACCGAATCGGACTCCATTTGATGATGCTGATGCATATCGGTACTTCAGCGCGGTCGGCTGAATACGTGATGAACCTGCGATATCGGGTCGGTCTCCTATTCGTGTCCTCCGTCGAAGACTCGCTGACGCCTCAGGATACCATGTTGTATCAGGTCTGGTTCGAAGATCATGCACAGCCGCAGCTGGTGATTGATCTGTGTCGCAACCATACCAAGGGACTCGCCAATCTACCCCGTCAACAGTGCGTGTGGCTGTGCCGATGGTGCGTGATTAGATACTAACGCAGCCAGGCCGGAACATCTTCTATACGAGCTGGTCGACTTGCCCTTCTACTACAACGCTGTTGCATTCTTCGTGGCCAGTCTCTTGGCTGTGCAAGGACTGCGAGACTTCCGAAGCTGGTCAGACGTCTGTGCAGCGTCCAAACCGCCGGATCGTAACTTCCTTTGCTTGGTATACACTGAAGACGTGCGGGACCGACATGTCTTCACCCGATACACGGAACGTTCAGAGCGTGAGTCCAAAGCCGCGACGTCGCTAGTCAACGCCCTCGGGCTTTTGGGCCAACGGACAGGCTTCCGTGATAAGCCAACCCCGGGCGCGATCCGACGCGAAGCACTCTTGCAAGTAGACAGTGAGTCGCTCCGAGGCGTGACAATCAAGACACGCCGCTCACATGCACAGGACATGGCTATTCTATCAACGAGAGGATGCGCCACGCTGATCACCGTAACGCCAATACGTATGGTAGCTACTACCAAAACGCCATTTCCACCGTCGACGGACAAGCAACGTATTTTGGCCTAGAGCAACAATCGCCACGGTTGCATGAACTCTTTCGTGGATTTTCCATCCGACGTGACCATCAATACCGGCCAGAAGTGCCTTCCCGGTTGCAGGGTCAGATGCGCGTTGCAGAATGTGGGACGGAGGGCCGGACTGCGATCGATCAAGCAGAAACGCCCCAGACAGCGTACAGAAATCGTCGCAGACTTAAAGACAAGATTCTCCGTGAAGAACGGCAGTCCAGGACCAGCGAAACGGGCTCTGATCTCGTTTGTGTTTATGAGTCCGATTTCCAACAAAGCCGACGCCTGATGCCAGAGCGAGATCGACTTGCTGACACCCTCTTTGAGGTTGGATCATTGCGAGGAGCCCAAGGGATCGATCTCATGAATGATTTGGTGAGCTTGTTCGCCTCTCAGAACTCTGAGACTTACTGTGTTGAACTCAACGGTTCGCGCTCACACTGCGATACCTGCCGCGTCGCCCGTTCAGCAATCGCTAGTCAAGACTGGTGGCGCCACGTCTATCACTGCCGCAAAGAACGATCCGAACTTGGAGGAGGTTTCAATGACTTCTGCTTTTTCTGCTATACCTGGATTGACCATGTCGATGCATGGGCTGCACACGCCGATCAGCACAGCCACAATATGCCCCTAAAATGCAGCTTGGCTATGTTTCGGGGAGCAGTACTTCGCCCAGCGTGGTGTCCGGACTGCATGAGCCGAACACGAAAACCAGGCGCCAATGCAAAACGTCTAACACAATTCTTCAACACGACCGTCTGGAAAGCTCACATGGACAAACACGTCCACGAACTTCGGTCCGAGCGACACCAGTGCTTGCATCCACGCTGCGTGCAGCTACCAAGCTATGCCACGATCGCCGAGTATATTGCTCATCGTTGGGACATTCATCTCATTCCTGCACCGGACAGCGATATGAACGGCTCAGCTCGGTGGGATGAGGCCTGGAACAACGATTCTGCTACCGAAAAGGCATACTGTGCTGCGGCAGGCTTGAGACGTTCTGATAGGCCAGCAGTCAGCCGGCGCATTAGGATTCCTCCACACGTCCCCGTCCTGGCAACTGAAGGCTCTGCTTCAAATTGCGACGCAGAAGATGATCAAGACTGTCGGTATTGGACAGATGAATCTCCAGCGACACAAAAAAGGCTCTCATTGTCGATATCATCGCCGTCATCATGCCAACAAAAATCGCCATGTTTCCGGGCTACACCACCGAAAGTTGTCAATTCCAAAACTAGTACCTTCGAGGTTGTCATCCCGCCCAAGCCCCCTGGCTGGGATGACGTTCCTCTTCTTGACTGCATTGGATGCAATGATAGGTCTACCGATCGCAACGCCAATTGCGAGGAAATCGCTTCGGATCATAGCCATGATAGGAGTAGAGGGAGTCCTGCGAGACCGTCATCTCGTGCCACTTCTGACAGCGCAAAGCGTTCAATGTATTCAGAAGAAGAGACCATCTCTGTTGCAGGTGGCATACAGAATGCAATTCCCAGGAAGACAGAGATGTCTGAGGACGCTATTCGAAGGAGAAAGGCCATCACCGAAATGCATGCTCGCATTAGGGAACGGCGTAGACCGCGTATCAAATAGCTGCGATAGTTTGTTGGTAGATCGCGGGCATGCTCGGATCAGCTGCGTTGCTTTCAGGACGTAGGTTGTGCATGCGTCTTGTGATTTTGGCAATTTTGACCAACATTTCGGCTTGCGTTTTCTGGTCGTAATGTCGGACGAGCTACGACAGACAACTGCACACCGTGCGATGGCGCAATATGGCCTGTCGGTGTTGACACAATTAACGGCGACTGCACTTAATAAATCTACGATGAAGAAAGACCGAGTGCGAATCATTCTGAGGTGAAGAACATCAGCTCCAGGAGGGGAGTCTCTTCGACCCTGAATCGCATCTCAGTATAGCCACAGGAAATGATGGTTGCTAGCGCAAGTCTCAAGTCATGCGGCCGTGAGAAGACCACGTGTGCGAACCTCGAAGACAAACGTGTGGCAAATTACAATGAGGCTGGTGCAACCCCTGAAAGGTCACCTTCCAACACCTCGTGTGTTCTTACTGATGAGCTCCTTCGGTGCACGATGCAGGCCATCGACATGGTTGATTGCCCGCAGGTTGCGTCATCACCCAATCACGCGCTAGAACCCATTATACTACGAGGTGTGCAAGACTGGTCGCATGGCGGTCACATATCCTGAAACACAACTATGCTGGTAGGTATTGGCTGACGACTTTTTCACCTATTGTCGTGGTCTGTTCTCAGGGTCGGGACGGTGTCCGCTGCAAGGTCGCCATCTCCTACTTGAAATGCCCCTGCTCAATCCCTTGGAGGCTTCTCTAGCATATCTTTTTGCCTGTCGCGATCGGCTGCTGCTCAGTATATGCATATCAAAATTGACCCGGCAAGCGCACGGGCCACAGCTGAGAAACCGTTGCTGTGGCCCGTGCACCTGGATACCGCAGTACTAATTCAACACAGAAGACTTTGCTTTGAGTCTACTGTGCTCTTCATTGGTTAGATCGCGTACAGTATGTTCTTGGAGATTCCATATCACAGTCCTTCATGCATGGCCGAAGATGCTGCTCATGCTAATAGTGGCGTATACCTAAGACACTGAAGCTTTGCCTTGGCATAGCATGTGTAGATTCCTTCGCTTTATCACGCGAACGGGGTAATCCGTTCATGGAACTGCTGAAGACACAGAATTACTCTTTGACAGACAATGAAATGTGATTCTTGAGATTCATCTTTTTCGCAGCCGTTATGCTCGTAATCCGCAGATCCTCTTCTCTCATTTGACCCCTCCTACCTCCTCGATCTCTCTGTATCGTTTCCGTGATGACTTTGCCGACCCTGAAGCAGTTCGTGATGCGGATCTCGAGGTGTCCGGACGATTGACGCATTCAGTCAAACGAGATAGCCAGTGTTGGAAGCTAGTGCCATCGCCGTTGATGTCACCGTGTTGGCTTCTCTCGGCCATGTGCCGATATTGCTCACTGGTGACGGCATCTCGGAACGATCGGTCCGAGTGAATCTTGACCACACGTGGAAACCGGAGGCTCTCGAACCGTGAGTTTGGCAAACGGTCAAAGCCGGCCCCCACCACTTCGACCACGAGAGGACGCATGAAAATGGCGGTGGGAGGAGGCTGGCCTGTCAGCTCAGTCTCAATGTGAGGAGCGGCAGCCACGTCGAAAGGTGTCAGGTAGTGCGCTTTTCCATGTCGATTGAGGAACCGCATATCTGTGGCGGTAATAGCAGGTCGCGACACGGCAGCAACGATACGGAAGCTATGCAATGTCGTATCATCTGCGCCTTCCGCGGTCAGATCAACACATGCGAGGTAGAATGTCGTCCACCACTCGGACGCGCCATACTTCATGTCATGAGCCCCCCCAATGACCACGAGATCGGCCGAGTCGCCCAAGCCTGGAATCATGTCCTTTCTCAATTTCACAGGGTGCTGCTGGCGATCGTCGAGAGCCACATAGGGCGCTTGAGAAGGCTTGAACATCAGTCCTTCCCATTGATGGGAAATCGCATGTGCTAGTCGGTGTGTGATTTGGCTGGCGGCGTTGTTGCTGCTCACGTCTATCGTCGTATATTCACTGATGACGGCGTGTCCTGGCACGGGACGCACAATATGTGCCAGTCGCTTTCGTCGTTGCACGTACGGTTCGAACATGCAATCGACATTATCGAGGAGCAAACAATCGAAGAGCACGATCATCAGATGCTCCCCAGGCAGAGGAGGTGAGTCGCGCCCACAACCAAGACGTCGACCAGTCCGCAGAATGTATCGGCGGATGTTGTAGAACGGCATGATGTCCTGTTGCGCATCATTCCAGACCACCATTTCACCAATCAGTACACATCCGATGTTGACTTGACAGTCCTGCTTTCCGATGTTGAGACACTGATGAATCGTAGGAATGAGTGCGTGACGATCTGCGGTCGAGTCCCGTCCACTCTTGGAGAAGATCTTGATATCTGTTTCCCCTGCTGGCAGGAGGCGAACGTGGATCTGACAGTATTCTCCGTCATACTTCCGCTCCACATAGACCAGTTGTCGCCCGAGCAGTTGACGACAATGCTGGATGCTTCGGGCTTTTTCGAATGTCGGACGATGTATGGCCATGCCCAACTGTGGTCGCCATTTCGACATATGCTGGTACTGCATACTTGATTCTCCGTCTCCCTGTGGAGTCATGATCAGCGCCACTGCGTTAACGAGTCCATCGTGTACTTGAAGCGCGGTCCCAAGAGCAGGATGGAGGAAATTCATTACCAGCTCTTCAGGCAATTGAACTTGACCCAGATTGCCCAAAATCAAACGGCACATCCACTCTGCTTCCAAGCCACTCATCCGTTGCAGCATGTCAATGACCCCCTGGCGTGGGCTGTGATTCTCATGTTGAAAAGAGGCCCGGATCTTTGGTGACGAGAAAGGGCAGCCGGATGCCAAATGATCCAGCACATGGTTGATCTCTTCTAACGTGGGTGGACCATGAACGTGTGCTACTTCGCCTCCCTCTTCCACCAATGTCCGGACCGTAGCAGCAAAGTCTGGAGCACCATGGCTTGATTGCCATTCATGAAGGTGTCGAGCACGACTGTGGCCGACGGACCATGCACGAATGGCAATGTCGGCTAGTGACTTCTCTCGTAAGCCGTACACTCGATCGCGCCGTCGATGAGGGAACAGACAAGATGTCAGAGCCAGCAAGCCCGAGCCGGTGTTCAGGTCGTCTCCGGCGGCACCTTGGAACCAGGTTCGAATGGTGCGTTCACGCTGGTGCTCATCATTCTGTCCAGCTATCGTTTGCCAGAAGTCGCATAGCGCCTTGAAATACATACTCTGGCGAAGATAACATACGATCAAGGGTGATCAAGCGCACAGAAATAAATTTCACTCAACAATCGAAAGACTAGCATGCATGTACGTGTACTTTAGCTGTCTCTTATATCATCTCTTGCCTTGATCTTGGCCCTACTCAGGACCGGACGAGTGACCGTGGCTGAGCACATATGCCTTCCTCACATGCCATTGTTTGGTTTGCTCAGCAGAACAGAACTTCTTGCCCCCACAGACATTGTACAGTTGTAGAGGGTGAACTTTGTTGGCTAGGGCCTGGGTTGCACGTCGTGTAATGGTATCCCAGAGCACGATTTGCAGGTGATTGCTCTCGTACAGTCGACCGTCGGCAAGGTAGAGCCATGTGATCAATACCAGTCTTCGTTCATCATCCACCGAGAGCATTCTGATATCATCGATACGCGCAACGTCGTCTCCTTGTCGAACATCCCTTTTGCCGTGCAGCTTGATATGAACAAGGTCGCCGCGCCAGAACGTCTCGTCCTGGCACGTACAGGTGGAATCGCGTTGAAGATCATGCCAGTTGCGAACATCTCTCCGGAGGCGCGTGACACGGTACTCCTTGGAGACATTGTCGAAGTGCAAATCGAAGAATCGAATCTGCTCAGGAATATTGTCTATGCTTGGTGCGATTTGATTCCCGTCTGTTATCCCCCGTTCCTCACTCCCAGGAAGTACTGCCACTTGTTGAGTTGATTTGGTTCTCTTCGACAGGCTCTGTGAGGGAGGGCTGTGGATTCTATTAATCCTTTCCGAAGACGGCGCCATAGAATATGTGCTTTTTGTTAACTGCTGGGATACGCGGCCTGCTGGGGATGCACTCGGTGCATGTGTACATCGCTCTTCTGTCTCTATCGTATCTGACACTGTGTTGATTGGTTCTTCACTGTCTGACTTTTCGTTGTCTGAGGCTTCACTGTCTAACCAATCAATGTCTGTGTCTTGTGCGTCTGTGTCTTGTGTGTTCGGCGCATGGACCTCGGAATCTTGTATACTCGAAGCTTGCTGTACATCGGCGTGCATCATCTCCATCCATGGCTGTTCTGCACCATCACGTAAGCCTGGCTGACCGTCGCTATGATGGTTTGAAGCGAGGTCGACACCTGGCTCCGTGACATTGGACATAAGATCCTGATCCAGCGAATTTCCCAACAGCGTCATTGTTGCCTTAATGGATTTCTCGGTCGACGACAATGACGACTAGCCAATCATCTGTAATTTCCATGTCAAAATAGTACCATGGGGCCCTTCTTATGTTTCAAGGTTACCATCAAAAGCCCACATTGTCTGGTGGTTGATCTTGGCAGTAACACTGCGCCTGGCCGTTGCATCGCGTGGTGCAGCCATTTGTTGGTCTACAGCTGTGCTTGAAAGCACACATCACCACCAGTAGCACCTGCGAGAATCACACAACCACACAACCACACAACC